CTTTAAACTTTGGCATTTTAATTATGACATGTCTTGGTGTGGTCCTCTTTGGGTCCAACTTGTTTGGGAGTCTCTGTGCTTCCTGGATTTGTATGTCTATTTCCTTTGCCAAATTAGGTGGGGTTTTTTTTTTTATTATTTTTTCAAATAAGCTTTCAATGTCTTGCTCTTCTTTTTCTCCTTCTGGCACCCCTATGATTCAGATGTTGGCATGTTTGGAGATATCCCAGAGTCTTCTTATACTCTCCTCATTTTTTAGAATTCCTATTTCTTCTTTCTGTTCCTGGTGAATGCTTGTTTCTTCCTTATGTTCCAAACATTGATTTGAATCCTGCCTTCCTCCCTTTCACTGTTGGTTCCCAGTAGATTTTTCTTGATTTCATATAGTGTAATCTTCATTTCTTTCTTTATGTTGTTGCTGTACTCAATACATTCTTTGAGCATCCTGATCACCAGTGTTTTGAACTTTATATCTGATACGTTGTTTATTTCCATTTGGTTTAGTTATTTTTCTAGGGTTTTGTTCTTTTCTCTCAATTGGGCCATATTTCTTTGTCTCCTCAATTTGGCAGCTTCTCTGTGTTTCTGTGTATTAGGTAGAGCTGCTTTGACTCCCTGTCTTAGTGGTGTGGCCTATTGTAGAAAAGGCATCTGTAAATTGTGTGGGGTAGAGCCTTAGGTAATTGCCAGGGTGGGGCAACCTGCTTCACCACTTTGTGGCTCCATATTGGGGGAGGATGCAGAGAGGGGGACAGTGCCACTGCCTGGCTTCTGGAGGCTTCCCTGGCACTCACCCCATTTCTAGTCACCTAGCCTACTCCCTGTGTGTGATTGGTACCGTTCCAGCTGTTTTCTGGTGCTAAATCCCGAAGTGGGTGGGTTTGTGCTTCCTGGATTTGTATGTCTATTTCCTTTGCCAAATTAGGTGGGGTTTTTTTTTTATTATTTTTTCAAATAAGCTTTCAATGTCTTGCTCTTCCTTTTCTCCTTCTGGCACCCCTATGATTCAGATGTTGGCATATTCCATACTTCCAGCTGTTTTCTGGTGCTAAATCCCGAAGTGGGTGTGTACATTCTAAGACAATATGGGACCTTTAAGTGTAGTCTTCTGAAAATCTGGCAGTTTCTTCCACCCTCCCAACCCCCACTGGTTTTTATAGCCAGAAGTTATGGGGACTTATCTTCCTGGCACTGGTGCCTTGGGCTGTGTGGTCTGGCTTGGAGCTGGGATCACTCGCTCCCAAGGTCTCCCTCTCCATCTTCCTCTACCACATGTGAATGTGCAATTGCTCATTCCGCTTTTCCGTCCTCACCTCTTCACCCATCTTGGGGTCTCTGCCCCTTCTCTCTGTCTGAATGAATATGGCTTCTTTAAATCCTTGGTTTCCATACTTCCATACAGTTTGATTTTCTGACAGTTCTGGGTGTTATTTGTTTTGAGGTTTAGTTGTAATTCTCTCTGTGGTTGTATGAGGAGGCAAAGTGTGTCTAGTGTATACATCCATCTTGACTGGAAGTCCTGTCCAAAAAGTTTTAATGACATGGAAAAACTCTCACAGTATTTATTGGTGGTGGGGGGTGGGTTGAGGATAGGATACAATGTTACAGTTCAATGCAAATTCACTTATAAATGCATAGTCTATGGAGGTAAAAGTCTTCATAAGGAATATACTAAGAGAGTTTAACTTCTAGGAAAATAGTACAGACACCCTGTTCCTTCTTCTAAGTACCACTAAAAACCCTAATATTATATATAAAACAAACTTAAGAAGACTTTGAAGGATGGAGAAGAGGTAGACAAGTTAGGAATCTTGGGACACAAAGAAGAACATGGTGATCAGGTCTGGATTTTCTTTTTGCCTCATATACTCCATAATTTTCTTTTCTCTGCACCATTTAATGGAAATTATTTCATCATTTTCTTTTCTCTGAAGAATTTAACATTTCTTGCAAGACAGGTCTCAGTTTTTGTTTGTCTGAGGACAGACATCATTATTTCCCCTTCACTTTTGAAGGATAATTTCACTGGATACAGAATTCCAGGGTAAGGATTTTTTCTTTTCACGTGTCAAATATTTCCCTCAAGTCTCTTCTTGCTTACATGGTTTATGAAGAGAAGTTCAATATAATTATCTTCTCTGTTCTTTTATAGGTAAGTTGGGTTTTTTCTATCTTTTTTCATGATTTTGTCTTTGGTTCTATAGTTTGAATATGATTTGTCTAAGTGTAGGAGGGGTTTTTTTTTTGGGGGGGGGGTGGGGATGGCATTTATTTTGCTTGGTATTCTCTGAGCTTCCTGGATTTGTGGTTTAGGGTCTGTCATTAATTTTGGAAAATTCTCAGCCATTATTACTCAAACATTTCTCCTGATCCTTTCCTCTTTTTCTGATATTCTCATTGTCTGTATGTTACATCACTTATAATTGTCCCACAGTTCCTGGGTATTGTGTTCTGCTTATTCAGTCTCTTTCTTCGTGCATGTCAGTTTTGGAGTATGTATTTACATTTCTTCAAGCTCAGTGATTCTTTCATTGGTTGTGTCCAGTCTATTGATAAGCCCATCAAAAGAAACCTTTATTTTTTAGAGTGTTTTTGATTTCTAACTTTCCCTTTTGATTCTTTCATAGAGTTATCATCTCGGCTTACATTACCCACCTTTTCTTGCACGTCGTCGGCTTTTCATTAGCGCCCTCAGCATATTAATCTTATTTTAAACTGCTAGTCTGATAATTCCAAAATCTGTTATATTTGATTCTGATTCTGAAGCCTGCTTTGTCTCTCTAGACATTTTTCTTGCCTTTTAGCATGCCTTGTCATTCTTTGTTGATGTCTTAGGTAATGGGAACTGAGATAAGTAGGCCTTCACCTGGTCAGTTATGCTGTGTGTACTGTCTGCTGTAACTGTAGGTGACTGAGGCTTCAGACACTGTCTGTCTTGTCTTCCCTGTTGTCTTTGGGTTTCCCTAGAAACTCCTTCCTAAATAGAGTCCGAGCCTTGCAGTTCTTTCGTCCGTAGTCCTCTGCTATACAGAGGCTCTATAGATACAATGTGTGCTGGTGGGAGCATCCTATAATCCTGTGATTAGATCCCAGTCTTTTAGTGGGTCTATGCCCCTGGATTGTTACCTCCACAAATGTCTCTCAGCATTATCCCCAAGAGGGGGCAGAATTTAGCTAAGTGCCTTTCTTCAAGTCAGATAAGGCTTTGGTACAATATTTTTCCTCAAGAGCTTACCTTTACTACAGAGAACAGAACAAAGGACAGAACTCCTTTGGGAGTGTCTTGAAATGATTTCTTTTCCCTTCTCCCTGCTGGTAGCAGGAGGCAATTTTTCTCTGACTTTTTACCATGGGAACATGGTGGGGCTCCTGGAGGTAGAACTCATGCAAGTATAGCTTCCCCCACCACACCCCCACCCAGCCTCCAGCACTTGGCCCTTCAGAGTTTTTAACTTTCAAGCTAATTCACAGAGTCCCCAGTGATTCTCAGTTGGAGTTTAAGTTCTCTTCCCAGTACATGCTCCGACAGCCAGTTTCTACTGTTGGTCTTTACCGGCCTCTCTCTCCAGGGTCCAGGGCAGCAGGTCTCTCTGGGATCTAAATTCTGTAATGGATCTAAGAGGGGTTATTTTTGGTTTGTTCACCATTTTTTCTTGTTGTAAGGTTGAGAGTGATAACATCCAAGCTCTTTACACATTGGGGTGAAACCAGAAGTCCATAAATTGCTCTCTAATGAAAATTTTCCAAAAGTAGGTTTCACAGTAGAATCAAGAGATTGAGTTATTGGTGGTTGAGTTTTATTGATCTTAATTATGTTAACTGTTTTAAAGAACTGCTTTTTATTTATTTATTTATTTATTTATTTATTTATTTATTATTTATTTATTTATTTATTTTAATCATTGTTCAAGTAGTTTTCTGTCTTCTACTCCCATTCCAGCCCACCCACCCATCCCTCCCCACCTCCCTCCCATTACCACCCCCCCTTAGTTTTTGTCCATGTGTCTTTCATATTTGTTCCTGTAAACCCTTCCCATTCTCCCCTGAAATTCCCTCTTCTCTCCCCTCTGTTCACTGTCAGCCTGTCCTCTATTTCAGTGTCTTTGGTTATATTTTGCTTGTTTCTTTGTTTTGTTGTTTAGGTTCCTGTTAAAGGTGAGATCATATGGTATTTGTCTTTCACTGCCTGGCTTGTTTCGCTTAGCATAATGCTCTCCAGTTCCATCCATGCTGTTGCAAAGGGTAGGAGCTTCTTCTTCCTTCTGCTGCATAGAATTCCATTGTGTAAATGTACCGTAGTTTTTTGATCCATTCATTTACTGATGGGCATCTAGGTTGCTTCCAGCACTTAGCTATTGTAAATTGTGCCGCTATGAACATTGGGATGCAAAGGTTCTTTTGGAGTGGTGTTTCAGGGTTTAAAGAACTGCTTTTAAATTAAAATTTTTAAGGCACACATATACTCATTCTTACTATTTTATTTTGTTTTACATTGCTCTTCCAAGAAATTACCCATTGCTTGGTAAGGACCTTTAACCAAATTTGATCCTTAAATTTTTGCAATTCTACAAAATAGTAGAAGTTTAAAGAATGTAAATATGGAAGTGCTTCGTGGTTCAACCATTCTGAATACATTTAACATTGGCTACCCTGTGATTTGACTTTATTAAACAAAGCACAGCATACTGTATTTTCCTTTACTGAGAAATGTTTTCTAGTGAAGTAATTCTGTCAATCATGTGCCGTATGAACTCAGCCAGAGGAAGAGCTTTCTATTCATGCTACAACGGTATTTATCAGACTTAGAAGTTCATATGCTTAATAAACAACTACAGTTTTTTAGTGGTAAAAATGCTAAAGATTGGTCTAATTTATTGTAATTACCAACATAATATTTCCTGTAAAATCTAATTTAACTAGATGTGTTGTTTTTAAATTACAATTTGTGAAGCTTTTAAGATAGCAAATTTGATTTTAAATTCTCCACTCCTCCCCCTTAGGTCGCTTCCAACTGTAATTGATCAGAAATTATTTATTTTCCCTTTGGAATCTGAGAATAAACTTTGGCAACCCCAGAAACAGCGCAGTACATTTCCACATGCCTCTCGGAGAACAAAGGTAGGAATAGAGAAAGAAATCCTTAGAAACAGAGTAGATTCGGGGTTGCTAGAGGCTAGGAGGAGGGGAGCATGGGGAGCGCCTCTAATGAGCATCAGGTTTCTTTGAGGATGATAAAAATGTTCTGGAATTAGACAGTGGCAATGGCTGCACAACTCTGTGAATATACTAAACACCATTAAATTGTACCCTGTAAAAGGGAGAATTTAAGGTATATGAATCCCATCTCAATAAAGCTATTAGAAAAAAATGTATAAGTAAAGACAGGAAATTTGCTTCTGTCTAAATGAGCAACCATGTCACTGTTTTTTTCACACGATGTTCATGGCATGGTCAGTTTCTTTGACAAGAGCTTCCTTCAGAAAGCAAAATAAATCAGAACAGAGTACCTACACATTTGTAAACAGAGCCCTAGAAAGAGTTTCCAGAATAGAAACTTTCCATAACAGAGCACAAGGGGTTTCTGGCCCTGACCCACGCAGCCCCATTGGTTGGACATTGTCCCTCGAAGGGAGAGGTTGCCCAGTGGATTCCCGGTCAGGGCTCATGCCTGGGTTGCAGGTTTGGTCTCCACTGGGGCGTGTGTGGGAGGCAACAGGTCACGTTTCTCTTCACATCGATGTTTCTTTCCCTTTCTTTCTTCCTCCCTTACCCTATCTCTAAAAATAAATAAATAAATAAATAAATAAATAAATAAAAATTTTTAAAAGAGTTTTCTGACTGCCTCCTTGGAGTGTTCTTTCAGTTTGACTCCTGTTTCCTCTCTGACTCCCCCAAAGTAAATATTATAGTAATAGCTCACCTCTTTTGAGTACCAGGTATTGTTATTAGTACTTTGGAAATACTAACTCTCTTAACCTTGTTATTACCTTTGTTTTTATTGATGAAGAAACCAAGGTACAGAATGTTAAAGACACTGGCCCAGACAACACAGCTAGTAAGTGTCAGAGCCAGCACTGTGTACCCAGAAATGCAGGGATCCAGAGCTGTCTCTTGACCACTGCAGTACCCTCTTTTAAATAATAGCTTTATTGAAATATAATTTATATATCATAAAATTCACTCTTTTAAAAAGTGTTTGTTTCAGTGGTTTTTAGTATATTCAGAGTTGTACGGCCAATATAATTGTTTATGTTAGTCTGCATTTATCCTTCATCACACTTGCCACGATTGGTAATTAGATATTGAGTTGTATGATTTTTTAAAAACAATTCTTATATAAAATTTTAATAATTCTTAAATAAATTGTCTGTCTTTCCACTAGATTATGGGGAGGATAGGATCCATGTGAGTCTGTTCATTGCTCTATAATTCCAGGAGACTCTCAATAGATGTTTGTTGAGTGAATAGCCGAAACCACCAGAGTGGCTCCTCAGGGTGTACTCGTCCCCATGTAAAATTCCTGTACTAGCCAGGCTCATCTGCACTCCCAAGGCAGCTTGCTCCCACCTTTGTCATTGTACTTGTCACACTGGGTTTGTTCGGCCACTCTCTGGAATACTTACGGTGTGCCAAGGGCTGTTAGAGGCACACTGGGGTGAACAACTCAGACCAGGCCCCTGCTTTCATAGAGCTTACATGCTAGTGAGGGGGGACAGTCCACCAATAGGAAAATATTAGAGAATCATACGGGCCTTGATGAAAAGAGAATGCTGTGGTAAAGGGAGCTTACGCTTCTTATCTTCCTTACTATTAAGTATCTGTTTCAGTTAAATTTTTTATTATTTTTCCAAGAATCTCAGAGGGCCACAGTTGGTCTACAAGTGAAGATTTGAGATCTCTGGTTTAAAAGACAATAAAATAAAATATCTGAAATTTGGACTGTTGTCCAATGTATAGTTGCTTCATTATTCCAGGAAAAAAAAAAAACCCACCTATGGCCAGAAATTGACTTTCCCAAGAGAGTTTTGAATCCTGTCAAATGATTATAAAGATAAGGAATCATATGTGCTGAGTATAACCCCAGGTTCTTTGGAATGCTGTGAGCATGGGTGAGGCTCATTTAGAAAGGGGCAAGGGCTGTTTCCCATCCTGATTTCACCTCCAGGGCCTGGATCCCTATTGTCATTTTATTTCTAATATCAGTGACATCTGCTTAAAAATGCATAACCGCTGACACAAAGGATAGCCCTAATTTTGCATTGTAAAGTCAATGACAAACAGTGCTGTTTTCCCAGCTGTTCCAGCAACGCAAAAGCTTGTATTATTAAGCAGTTGTGAAATCCAACTGGGATATTGCCACCTTTAATTGCCCACAGCCAACCATTTAAACTAGGTGAGCCCCAGTTGCTTCTTTAAGCTCTCTTTCTCCAAAGTTGATAGCTGTCTTTGGAATTCCATTTTACAACTTCCCCCCCTCAAAAAAAAACAACCCTTACATGACAATTAGTAGTTGCTCAATTGTAATTAAGCACCATAATTAAGAACTGTTTATTGATTTTCTTTTACATTTGAGAAAACCATATTCTGATGGCTTTTCTTTATAGTATACTTTAGGTCCCTATCAACAGCAGCCCAAACCCTCTTTGGGGCACCTTGGGCACATGTGCTACTAAGAATTAAGGGAAGGGTTTGAAATAAAAAAGCAAAAAGACAGGGAAAAGGGAGGAAGAGAAGGACAAAAAGCTTATATGCCAAGAGAGTATTTATTTGATTTCTTTGTTGCATCTGGCAAGTTAAGTCTGAAGGGAATTTGAAAATAGAAATTCCTAGATTCTTTAGATCAAAGCACCAACTTAGAAGCATGATATTGTTGGTTGTTTCTGGAGAGGGGGAAATAAAGCCACTTCACTGCTTGAGAGTTATTTTCTATATTTATTCCATAAAATGGATGCTTTATCGATCAATCAAATATAAAAATGTGTGTTTTGATAGGATGCAATCATATGCAACAGCTGTGTCTTAGATGGAAGAATCTTGTCTTTAGTTTTGTGAATTGGGATCTAACTGAGAAAGCAATTCTCAAAATTTGACTGAAACTAAAATTTTGAGGATTTTTGACATTAGACACCATATGGTAAGAGATCAAAGAAGGCAAAAGCCAGGCAAGTAAGGGCTGCTTCCCAGATTTCCACGGAGCTACCTGTCGCCAGCATCAGGGCGGAAAGGTCTGCTGGTGAGCTGGCAGCTGGGTTTCTCCCCGCAGAGTGGGGTGAAGGGATGGCCCACAATGAGCCAGCCGCTGTGAGCTGTCTTCTCATTAGAGTGGAAGCTCCATATTTTTTCCATTTTTATGGCTTTAAAAAAATTTTATTATGAAAATATTCAAACAAACCAAGGATAGTATATGAATAACCATTCTTCCTTCACCTAGATTTAACAATTGTTAACCTATTTTTCATTAAAGTGTTTCAATATATAGACCTAGTGACATTGCACCCCTTAATGTTTTAACATGCATCTTTAAAAATGAGCATATTTCTACCTACCTGCAATACCATTATCACACCTAAAAAAATAATAATTCTTCAATATAACACCTAACTCTTCATATTTCCCCAGTTATTTCCCAAATGTCTTCTAGTGCTCTTTTATCCAAACCCAGATCCACTAAGATTTGCCATTGCATTTCATTCTTTTATTTAAGTCTCTATTAATCTAAAGCAGAGAGACTCTGTTTTGTTCACTGCTATACCCAGTGCCTAGACAGCATCCAGCCTGGAGTAGGATCTCAACGACGACATAATGGTTAAAAGTATGGCTTCACATCCTGTACCTTGGCAGATCACCTAACCTGCCTGTGCCTCGGTTCCTCATCTTTAAAATGGGTGTAATGATAGCATGTACCTACCTCATAGGGCTGTTGTGAGTATGAACATATTTCAATCCTCATAACAGTGCCCCCATACACTGTAAGTGATCATTCTTTAAATTTTCTTAATTGTTGTTCAATAACAGTTGTCCTTATTCCTCCCTCCATTACTCTCCCCTGCCCTGTACACCATCCCCCCCAAATACATATTCTTCTTATTTGTTGATGAATACTGGTCAGCTGCTATTATCTACCTAATATTGTGCCAGACAGGCACTATTTTAGGCATCAGCCAAACTCCTCTGCTCTCATGGAGCTCCCATTCTAGGTGGTGTGGGGTAGGCATTAGGAAAACAAAAAAACAATTTGAAAAGTAAATATATAGTATGATGGCCGGTGAAAGAAAAGCTGGGGAAGGAAGGGCTATTGGGATGGTCTCCCTTGTAAGATAACACTTACACAGATATTTGATGGAAATGAGAGAGCAAGTCATTTGGCCATTTGGAGGAAGAGCATTCCACGCAGAGGAAACAGAATATGTGAAGACCCTGAATTAGGAGTGTGAACAACAGCAAGGAAGCTGGAGAGGGATGGGCAAGGGGGAGAGAAGTAGGAAAAGTAGTAGGTGGCCAGACAGTGCTGACCACTGTGTTACAGAACCCCGCCGATGCTGTACTGGCACAGCTGTGGGGCTCAACTGCCCACTGCAAGAAGCAGGACTCCCAGTGCAGGAGTTTGGTGAAAAAGGAAAGGGGTTGTTTACTTAAAGGTTATGCAGATTTAGAGTAAATGGCAGATTTCTGCCCTTAAGTCCAGCTCCCTTTACAAATGCCCCAAAACACAGTCCTGCCTCCCTTTGCCAAACCAGACCAGTTTCAGAACATGCCACTCAGAGGTACCATCTTTTAGAAAAGCAGAAGTCTGCAGCTTGGCATTCCCTGTCACAGTTCAGCTCCATTTGCCCACCCTAATGTAAGTGCTCTCCTGGAACTTCCTGTGTGACCTCTTATCCAGCCCTTCCTAGGATGTGTTAGTGTCTGCCATTTTTGCCAATTCCCTAATATCTTTTACCTTCTTTTGACTGCCATCTTTAGTCAGGGCAAAAATTCCCAGCGACACAGATGTTCAAGGGTGGGCATCTGCCCCTTGCCTCATGTGCAAGTGCTGTATGAGTTCCCCCCTCTGCATGTCCCTGATACATATTCAGGGATAATAAGTTAATGAATAATTACATTTGAGTTATACTTTAATTTCAAATATGACTTTTTGTTAAGAAATTTTATTTTTGAATACACACAAAAATAGAATGAAATCCATGCAACCATCACCGGTCCTTAGCAGTTACCCTAGTTTTACCGTTCTTATATCATCTATTCCCTCTACTCTTTTTGGTGAGGTCTTTTAAAGCAAATCCCAGGCATCATATCATTTTACCCTTACATACTTCAGATGAAGAATATATTATCTTAAATACATCTTAAAAATATTATCACACCTAATAAATTCAACACTGCATTAATATTGTATAATTCCCAGCCCACGTTCAGTTTTCTCTGATTTTCTACTGTTGGATGTGAAGGAGGTCCACACATTGCAGTTGTATCTCATTTCATCTGTAAGTTTCCCTGACTTAAAAAAGTGTTATTTATTGGTTGAAGAAACTAGGTCACTTGTCATACAGGTTTTTCCCACAGTCTGAATTTGGTTGATAGCAATCTCCTGGTGTCATTTTATATGGTCCTCTGTCTCTAGTATTTCCTATAAACTAGTTTTACCTAGAGGCTTGATCAGATTCAGGTAACATCTTCTTGTCAGGAATACTTCAGTGGGCAGAAAGCTGTGTCTTTCCTTTTATAGCATATCAAGAGATAAATTCTTTTTTCTCTTAATGGTGTTACGATAGAACAGTGAGTCCAACTATATTACCAGCTTGATCTATCCAATATAAGGTTTTCCACCACATTTCACCTAAAGCTATAGCAACTACAGACATTTACCCAAATATTGTACACTATTTCATTAGGAATTGTGTAGTGGTGCTTTTATAATTCTATCTTTCCTCCTTTTTGTCTGTCTTCATGGAAATTTATTAATTAATAAAATTGATTAATTAATTTAATAAATTTATAAGTATAAATATATTAAACAAATAAATTATTTATTCAATAAATAATTTGATAGATGTATTAATTAATAAAATGATTTTTTATTAATTAATAAAAATAATAAATTTCTGTGAAGATCTTTCCCTTATCAACTCCTTGGTGAATCTTAAAAATAGATTTTCAGGAAAAGCAGAATAAATGCTTGATTCTTTTACTTATCAAAGTTAAGATTAAATTATTAAGTTTATTAAGTTTTAGGGGGAGATAGGGAAATTGTATTAAGAATTTGTGGGTTTTTATATTTGAAGTGTTTCAATCTATTGCAGTTATTATTATTTGATGAGTAGAAGCCCCTTGCAAGTTGACTCCTGAACAGTACTTTATAATTTGCAAGATAGTTAGCATACATTAGTCACTTAAACCTCACAAACAACTCTGTAAAGGTAGGCATTATTACCAATATTACAAATAAATCTACAACATATAGCTTGAATTAGAATTTGGCATCTTTTGTGCTTCCATTAAATATAATAATGTTGAAACAATCAGAGTTTTAAAGGAAACTGGATTTTTTTTCCTCTGTTTTTCTGGTTTTGAGATTAAACAGCAGATGTCTTTAACCAGCGGGAACATGATATTAAGCAATATACACTTTAGAAGGCATTACTTGTAACAAACACTGTTTAGAATGATGTTATGCTGATAATACTATAACTTGGTAAATAGCCTGCCTCAACTTTGTTTGTGAAGCATTTCAATTTTGATTACGCTGTGTGGGATCTGCAGCTCAGATGTATGTCATTTTATGGGCTGCCCATGTCTGGGGAGCTGGCATTACACGCTGCCTAGTGTTTTTAATTCAGAACTTCTTTTAAAAGAAACCTTAGCCTCTTGTGTTCAACCCCTAGTTTTAATAGCATAAGCTATTTCTTTCTTATATAGCTTTGTGGGCATAGTAATAAAATAAATACCACGAAACTACTGATGAGATGAAAATTGAGCTCCCTGCTTCTGTGCAGCCATGTAGGTAAAACAGTAATTGGCTCTGATAATAACTTTTGTTCTTACAAACCAAAGTCTAAATGAGAGTCACATTTGATATATCTGCTTGTAATTATTATCAAAAGGAGAGAATATGAAGTTTGGATTATTTAGTGACTCAAGATAGATTAAATAAATTGCTGTCTTTTCTTGACCAATTTAAGGAAAATTTCTGAAATTATTCCTGATATTTATCTTACTGTTGGTAAAAAACAATCATCTTCCAGAGCATGTTTTCCTGCTTAATGGATTGATTAATTTTGTTTTTGTTTCTTAGATCTATAATTGTTTTTCTTGGAAAATCTTATAACTGGGCCTAATAATGCAGCTTATGCTTATAAGTATTTCCCTATACATCTCAACAGATGTAATTTGTAAAATTGCAAGACAAATTTAGATTGTGAATGTATTTGATAGTGATTTTCAGAGAAACCATTTGATATGTTAATTTATTTAAATGTAGACTCCTATATATGATTTTTAAAAGGGAAATTACATAAAGTATGCTACATATTATTTTGGTACATACATACTTTGGTGCCAAAATAGTAAATATTAGAATAATTTTGAAGGACATTTCCCACGGCTTTAGAAGCCAACTAATAAAGAACTGATATTACAACCTATCGTTTCTGTTGGGTTTCTTTTTATATTTTAATTTCTTACAAGAAATATCTATGTCAGGGCCAGAAATGTAAAAATGGGCAGAACACTGGATTTTAAAGGCTAATTTTAACAATAATTCTGTATTCAATCATTTCTTTCCTATACCAGTCCTATAGTCCCAGAAAGATGATGGAGCATAATAAAACTAAGAAAATGGCTGTGGTCCACTAGCCAGTGATCCCAGAATTTAAAAGTTCTAACAAAGCTTAGACATGATAAATAAAGTTATTACCATCATTTATATCCAGAATACACATTTTTTTTGAAAAATCCTAATTACAAAAACCACATCCAGTCAATATATACATATTAGTAATATGCTGACCCTTTGTAGAATGAAAATTATTCTGAAAGTTTAATGGAGAAAAAAGTTACGTTCTGGTGCTAATTTCAGTAAAAGAGGCACTGAGCTTCCATGCAGACATGTGGAGTCGTGCTGTGAGTGTGGGTTAGCCACAGAAGGAACAGAAGGAAACCTGTTTATAACTAGGCACATTATTGTTGTCACTGTGTGTACTTTAAGGGGAAGGAAATAGGCTTTATTTGCAACCTGTGTTCCTGCACAGGTTAAGTCAAGTGGGCAGTTGAATCCAGTTATTCAGAGATTTGGTTTAAAAACTGCCATTAAAAAAAGTAAAAGGAAAGTTTGGAGCCTGTGTTAAGAAATAAGTAGACACCTTGGCTGGTGTGGCTCCGTGGATTGAGCGCCAGCCTGTAAATGGAAAGGTCACCGGTTCAATTCCCGGTCAGGGCACCTGCCTAGGTTCCGAGCCAGGTCCGCAGTTGGGGGCCTTGTGGGAGACAGCCCACTGATGTCTCTTTCACACACGAATGTTTCTGTCCCTCTCTCCCTCCTTTCCCCTCTAAGTAAATAAAAATTTAAAAACTAGACAGCATACATTCTGTAAATGATTTTGTAGACTTTCTCTTCACTTTGACCTTAGATACAACCAATTTATACATTGTTAGGATTAAAGAAATAACTGGATCATGAACCGATCTGATTCCTACAGCCATTGTAACAATTGCATCAGATCACCCTCAGAACTAAGACACTCAATTGAAAGGAAACCAGGTGTTTTAATTGCTTACAATGCCTCCTTTTAAATGTGACAAAGACCACATATTTACAATTCATATGAAATGCCCAGAATAGGCACATCCAAGGGAAAGACAGATCAGAGGTTGCCAGGGGCTGGGATGGGAGGAAATGGGGTGTGATTGATAATGGGTTTAAGGTTTCTTTGTGCACTGATGAAGACATTCTGGAATTAAAGAGGGGTGATGGCTGTACAACTTTGTAAATCTGCTAAACACCGTTGAATTACACACCTTTAAAGGGGTGAATTTTATAGTATGTAAATTATATCACAGTAAGAAAGTTACAAAACTTCAGAAACTGTTGGTAATGCCATATTTCTCAAGCGTCAACTTAACATTGAGCATCCAATCATGCAATGCCAAAGCAGGAGGGTGTGTGTGTGTGGGGGGGGGGGGGTGGTGGTGAATAGTTCCTTAAGGGACCATCAAATCTAACTGTTACATTTTGAAAATAAAGAAACTGACTTCCAAAGAGGGAAGGTGACTTCCCCAAGATCACACCCAGGCAGTTCAGGGGAGGGCAAGACTGGAACCCGAGTCTCCAGACCCCTCCCGTGTCCTCCCCACCCCTACGGTGCTGCCCACACTGCTGGTTTATGTTTGAGCATCTCAGCTGTAACTAATTTGAATTATTTAAAATGAGGAACACATGGTTCAAATGAGCTACTTTTATTTTTCTCTAATGAAAGCATACATTTTCCTATTCAGAGCAAAATCCCTGTGAAGGAGTAAATAGATTTGTTGTGGCAAATTTACCGAGTCCAAGCTGAGATTTACCTGTAAATGTCCCTTGAGGAAAGTGCCACATTAACAGACCAAGGGAGCCCTCTACCTGTGTGTTTATAGTATAGATTTCACCGGCAAAATCCTTGACCTGGAAAGCTAAAAATAAATTGAAACCAGGTATTCTAGTCCTTTGTCCACCTTGCTCGGCTTCTACCGTGATTTCTGAGAAGACGGATGCTGTCTGAGGATGTATTTGTATGAGCAATAGGATGCACGGAGGAAAATCTGCAAAGTTCTTTTTCTGTGAATAAATGAGGACAATTAACAATGTAAATAAAAGACCCAAATATATATTTTTTCCAGTGAGAATTGCATGAGAATAACTATTTCCAAAGAACTTTACATTCCTTTGAGGATATAAAATGTTAGTAAGCATTTTTGTTCATCCAGCATGAAAGTTTCATTGTTTCTTTGTTTCAGCGAAAGATAGGGTTGAATGTAAAAATCATGCAGGATCCTGAGAACACCCACCACAGAGCAGCTGTAAATGCACACTATGGAATCAGTTTGCCATATATTAATCAGAGAAAAGCATCTGTAAGTAATGAGTTGATTTAAAGAGCTCTTAATTTTTAAAAAATTTAAAGTCATACATTAGTCATGTAAGATATAATGTAGTGTTTAAGCAAAGATTTTGATCCTTGCGTCTTTAGAATTTATTTGATGGAGTGGCTTTCCTTCTGTTTATAATTAGAAATGATTAAAACAAGTAAACCTATTTTCAAAAGATCCATTGGTAGCCCACTCAAATTTCTCCATTTTATTTGATGTTCTTAAATAATCTAGTACCATAATTTTAACAAGGATAAGAGAATTTAACAACAAAGAGAATTAACAGAGACATTTTAAATACTTTATTTCTTTGATAATAAGCTTACCACCAGAAAAATCAGAAGGAAGCGAGCTCAGCATCAGCTTCAATGGTATTGACTCACACAATACACAACATTTAATAAAACCATCCTAAATCTGACGCAAGCAGGGATTAATTCTTTAGGTCAGCAAAATGATGACAGGGAAAAATAATCACATGGTGATTGCTCTAAGGGATCTCAGAGTCTGTGTCTATTTTTGCCATTGATGTTCTGGGAAGTGTCCCAAAGCAAGGATTGGATTCTGCCTGTATTGTGGGGTTTTCTTGGGAAAATTAAGGGTAATGCTTCATTTAATTTAGAATTCTTTAATTTGAGATCATTTCTAATACTGAAAACAGTACTGAGGTGACATCTATACATTTTAAAATATATTTTTAACCTCTGGCTTCTCTCAAAAGCTCTTAAATGTATACTTAGGTGAAGTCAAAACTAAACACCAGCTTAATTTTAGTATTAAATTGAAAACCATTTCTAACCAGTATAATAACCTCTTAGATTAATCTTTCAAATGTCCTGCATAGACATTTTCAACTGCCTGTTTCATTCATATAACCCTCTAATATATTTTTAGTTGCTTTATATGTGTTTTATGTTCTTTTAACAGATTTGGTTTAAGAGCACTTTATCATGGAAATACTTTTATAGCCTAAGAAATAACCAGAAAGTTAGATATTTTTATTCCTGCTGAAACTTTATTTAAAATGTCACTGTGAATAATGTGAAAGGATTTTTATCTGCTCCCATGAGCCCAAAGCTCTTGAAATAAAAATATTATTTCTCTGGCTGTAGAGACAGAAGCAGATTTATCTTTTGTTGTTGTTGGTTTTCCCCCTTCAATCTAGAATTAATATTGGCTTAGCCGGTGGAGTGCTGAGGCTTTGTAGCCCAAGGCAACTGCTGCGTCTCATGCAAACTTTTTCTGATGAGTATTGAAGTTTAAAAGGGCACAACTCCAGATTTAGAGAGGGTTATGCTTTGCTTTAATGAATCTGAGTGGCAATTCAGGCATACATAGGAATTCAAAATTATATCCGAGATTTGAGGTAGAATCTTAGTCATTTATTATGTATTTTTTTCTAATTCCCAAATAGGCTCAGTACCTTGGCCATCGTGCCCATGTGTATCGAACAGAGGATATGGGAAAGCTCCTTGTCTTATCTGACATATAGATAATGTGTCCTCATTTGTTTTATTAAAGGTTTTTAAAAAATAAAACTCGACTCCATAAAACTCTACACCAGAGCATTTAAAAATGTATATACATTAGGTACATTTTACTCAAATTGACTCTTGGCATTTCAGTCAAAATAGTTGACCCTATCATTTTATGTTGATATATGTATATATATAATGGTGCTAGCTGAAACACGGTATTTTCATTTTGGATTTATAAAACAGAGGCATTGTGCAAAAAACCCTATGAGAGAAATATTCAGGTGTTTGGTCGTAAACAACCAGGTAGAGCACTTGGGAATAAACACAGTTGTGGTTTACTTTCAAAAGTGTTCTGAAAGCACTTACCCAAACTGAAGCAACATGTCTGGTGTCGTGATGTACAGTTAATTAGAAAAGCAGCATCAAGGCTAATCACTTCTCAGAACTACTCGAAACACTCCAAGGGGATTATCACTGGGCGGCTGAGGGCCCTGTGTTTCCTTGCTTTTGAAACTTGAACAGCTTGTCAAGAGCCTGTAAATAATCTTAGACATTTTGTGGTGGAGCAAACTTGAATATGAAGCTAATTTACATTATTAGTTCCTAGAAACTGGTATTTCTTCATTTTGGGAAGAGGTGTGTCCTTCCTGATAATTAGGGGCTGCTACAAAGATTTGTGCATTGAAAACACACATAGCCCAGACATGCATGGACACACACTCACACCCCCAACAAACCCGTCTTCAGCATATTATATCCAACAAACTGTGTTAGTGAAAGCAGTTTACAGCAAAATATTAAAAGTGAAACTCACTGATGACCTTTCCAATATCATAATTGTGCCTAGTAATAATAATCCCTCTATCAGGTTTCTGAGAAGGGCCTGGTACATGGGGAGACAAGAAGAAATCTCTGATACTGTTTGTACTTACTGGCATTTAGTTCCAGTTGGACATTCCAATGCAATACATTAAAAGATCTAAAGAAAATTTGACGTTGATTTATTTTTTTTAAATAAAAGGGTTTCTTAAAAGGCTTGAAACATGTATCTGTTAACATGAATTTTAAAAGAACGATTATGAATGCATAACAAAATAGCCAAACAAAACATTGCTTTGAATTGCTGCACAAATAACTCTGATTATAACTGTTATGACCTAGAAAAGAATCATAAAAACATTTTTCTTTTTGGCAAGATATGAGTTGCTGTAGAATTATACTAGTTCTTTGGTCCCACTTTCCAAGTAAATAAATATATAATGCAATGTAAACTTAGAATCTTTTATTTATTCATGAGGTTGAATTTAATACTATTATGATTTTTAGATTTTTATGAGTCATATGTTATGCAGTGTTTTTCACTAACTTAGTTGGGTAGCAACCACACTTCACAAATCATGCTTTCATTCTTCACTGTTTCACTTGGGGTGTACATAGCAATCTCCCTCACTAAAAGCGCATTCATTTCTGAAATGATAAAGTAATGGAAAGTGAAGCAATTGTGTTAATGTCAAATGATTAGAAGAAACGCCAGAAGTAAGGGGCGGGGGTAAGAAGGAGGGGGTCGGAAAGGAGGGCTATTTCAAAACATGATTGTGTTTTAAGCCCATGCATATGGCCACAATTACAGTCACAACATAATTTGGCAACAGTGGCAGAATTAGATTTAAACAAATTGATGTTACACTGCAGTAATTCAGAATGAGCTTGTTGCATTTATAAAGCACAACAAGAAGCAGAGTGAATTAATAAACCCTTCTTGTCACTAAAAATAAAAAAGGGAATAATTGCTGAGATGGAGTTAACTTAACAGATGACTATAGTCAGCATCCTTTCAGCCTAGATATGGGAAAGTGAAGGTCACCCCCATCTCAGATGACAAAGTGGGAACATTTTGTTGGTAAACAAATTAATCTTTTGAAAGGTCGCCATTTGTTTTAAGTTTTTATCCAGTTCTTGTCATCTGGAATCAGAGATTGACTGTCATTTCACGAGGCAGGGGTGCAGTGGAAGCAGACAAAGCTGCTTCTGTACATATCAGCACTCCTTGACAAAACTCGGTGCCTGATTGGGATGCTATGGGCTGCTGGTTTACAGCTGTCTCCGGACAAGAGAGGAGGCCCACCCCTGAATTCCAATAAGATGGGCCTGCATATTCCGCCTGCTGTAAGCTGGCCCTCTGCCCGCAAGTAAAATGTATTGTAGTTCAAGCCAGCAATTATCTCTTTTACTTCCTTCTGTGCTGCTTCTGTTCCCTTTTTCCAAAAACAGATGTGGGTATTTACTCAAGTTCTGCATCTATTCTTCCTCACACCTGCCAGGGCAGAATTTTGACAGAGGTAGAGCTGAAGAGAGCCAGCAGACAATGATCAGATGTAATTTCTTTGGGAGCCGTTTAAAAAGAAAATGTTGATTTTTCAGGAAATGTGGAGTCAGCATCTTGGTCCCCCTCCCATTTCCCAGGAGCATTTGGTAAATTAAATTAGTCCAACAAAAGGAAATAGCTTTAAAGACATTTAGAATTGCCATATCCTATTTATGACGCACAGTCGTTACCTAAGGAGTGCGGTGGCCTTGGCCTCCACAGCACCGTCATTTCTGCCATTGACAGCGAGCGTTCTCTTCCGGTTGCTTAGACAGGGTCTTCAAGGAAACCATGACCTCTCGAGTTCCTGACTCACAGCCTATAAACGTATTCCACCACTGTGGTGGCAGCAGTGCTGGCATAAGTGCGCTGTGTCGCCTTTGTGTGACAACGGGCATTGGCTGGGGCCTCAGTGAGAGCCTATGTACCCTCATTAGATAATGTTCATAGAAAATCTATGTCATGAGTTCTCTGATTTCTTTTTTTTAAAGATTTTATTTATGCGTTTTTAGAGAGAGGGGGAGGGAGGGAGAAATAGAGAGAAACATTGATCGATTGCCTTGTATAGGCGCCCCAAATGTAGACTGAACCCACAACCTAGGCACGTGCTTTGACCAGGAATTGAACCAGTGACCTTTCTGTTTGCAGGATGACACCCTACCAACTTAGCCACATGCTTCAGGGTGGTTCTCTGACTTCTGAGAATGCTGTGTGTCTGAGTTTCTGTGCTAAGATCCTGCATGCATGCCCAAAGCAACTGCATGCTGGACTCCAAGTCTTTTTCAGCTCTGGGCATGGTGATTCTGGGTCAGACTGCCTGGTGTGAATTCTTACTAGATGCCGGGTAGGGGAGGGCTCTTCCAGAAACAACCTCCACCTCCTCATGTGTAAAATGTCCGTAATTAGACTATCTCAAAGGATTGTATTGAGATTTAAATAAGTGATTCAAACACTTCAAAGGTCCTGGTACAAATAACTAATCTGAAAATATTAGTTACGACTATTGGCAATTTGCACATGTATTGTGCCACGTTTTATACTGTCATCTAAAACTTACATTATTGTTGGGGTTGGGGGAGAGAAGCAGTACCCACTGAGGTACCTTCCAGTCTGCAAGTGAAGTAATGATTCCTCTGGCCCCC